CTGTGTGAATAGACAAATTGAGAAATTTTGTTAAAGATTTTGAGAAATTTTGTTAAAGATTTAGAGAAATGAGAAATAGGAAATACAAGTAAATAAAATAGACAAATAAATTAGCTGAACCACAATTTAGACGTACGGACAAACAGACAGACATATAGGCAGTCTGGCAGATTGACAGACACTAACTGAAATCGGATTATATCAAGGGAGCCAATTCAAAGAAAGATTGCAGTGTGGGGGTTTACAAAAATTCTTAACTTGGGGCAGGTGATACTCCAAGTGCCCATGCCTTGTTTTTGTGAATAATCATAATAATAAAAGCTAAATTTCCAGGACCATTAAATATAATAATATATTTAAATAGTATTAAATGCACAATAAATATGTTAAATGATGTATATTTATGGCTTTAGTGGGTCGTGGCGCATAATTACTTAACAATGTGCCAAGGCTCTCCTCGGGCCACTTTTCAGATACAGTTTTTACTGGAGGGAGGGGTTGTCAATGGCCAAAATTAGTCACGCCTGGGTTAATTTGATGAATTAATGGTTTGTGTGAGTAAAACACAGAGAAAACGGAAAAGGAATCAAAGTAACAAGTCAGTGATCGAATAAGTAATTACTTGAAGAGGTTAAAAACTGCATGATTCTATTCGCTGACACACAAACTACTTACAGCTGACGGGACGTTGAGAGCTGGTCGTGTGAATATTACACAACAACGCAACAAGAACAAACAACAGCAACATTTTCAACTGTTGCAAAATTAGAATATCTTCACAAATAAATCAAGATGCGCACGAAATGGTTGCTGCAGTCCAAGTGGCAAATGAAGAAATAGCTGCGCGCTTTTGGAAAAACTGGCTCTAGCCATTGCTTTTTTATAGCTCGCTTCTGTGTTTCGTTGGTTTGTTTTCGCATTTTTATTTGAAACTTGGAAATCAAGAAACTGTTGTGAAGAAGTTGTTTGATCAACTGCGATTTAGTTATCTATTCTTCGAAGTCACACTTTTGTTAGACGGTTCTTTACTTTGTTATTTTGTGTTTTGATGACTTCTTTTGATGAGGCGAAGACGCGGAAGAAAAAAATCTGCCATTTTTGTTTTGTCGGCCATGTCTTAATCAGCATTTGTGTGCTGTTCAACATGTGTACTTTTTGTAGGAGTCCTGTGTTTTCTGTATATTGTACTGCGTGAATGTGACGTGACCCTTTAAGTGGTTTAACTATTTGGTGTAAACAAGATTACGTCGGTTTATGCACCTGTGTAAACGTGTACCACTGGCCAGGAGTTCGACGCAGTCTTTCAATTAACATCCAACACAAGATCACACTTTTTAAAAGCAGTTGGTCAAATTCTGCTTTTGGTCAGCCTAGCGGGTTGGACCTAGCTGGTTGGATGACCACGCTGGCTGGATGACCGCGCTGGTTGAATGACCACACTGGTTGAATGACTACGCTGGTTGAATGACCACGCTGGTTGGAGTACCACGCTGGCTGGATGACCACGCTGGTTAGATGACCACGCGGGCTGGATGACTGAGCTGATTTAATGACCACGCTGGTTGGATAACCACGCTGGTTGAATGACCACGCTGGTTGGATAACCACGCTGGTTGGATAACCACGCTGGTTGGATGACCACGCGGGCTGGATGACCATCCTGGTTGAATGACCACGCTGGTTGAATGACTACGCTGGTTGGATGACCACGCTGGCTGGATGACTACGCTGGTTGGATGACCACGCTGGCTGGATGACTACGCTTGTTGAATGGCCACGCTGGTTGAATGACTACGCTGGTTGAATGACTACGCTGGTTGAATGACTACGCTGGTTGAATGACCACGCTGGCTGGATGACTACGCTGGTTGAATAACCACGCTGGCTGGATGATCACGCTGGTTGAATGACCACGTTAGCTGGATGACCACGCTGGCTGGATGACCACGCTGGCTGAATGACCACGCTGGCTGGATGACCACGCTGGCTGGATGATCACGCTGGTTGAATGACCACGCTGGTTAAATGATCAGTCCAAGTTTTAGTTTATACCTACTAAAATATTTCTAATACGAGGCCTCCTCGAGTGCCGTTCCGATCAACAGGTCGTTAGTCGAACTGGTCGGAAGTCGAATTTATATTCTCAACACAATTTTCATTGACATTGGTAATAACAGATTCTACATACCAAAAAAAAAAATATCTATGTGTGGAGAAATAAATCATGCTGTATTCTAAGTGTCTGTTCAGCGATATTTGTGAATACACCAGTTTTAATTTTTAATTTTTAAAATCTTTTTTAAATTTACTTTTTTTATTTACTTATTTTGTTGTTGTTTGTTTTTTAAGTGCAGAGAGTCGTAAGTGGGGGAGAAGTTACATTTTTATTTGTCATTCACCACATTTACATTATTTATATTATTATTACTATTCACTAAAACTAGGTTTTTACCGTTGATGCCCCCACCCTAAAAATGTGTAAAGACCAAGGTCTCACCCATGACCCCTTATGTTGGCTTTGTGTCGGTGCTCCACGAAGTTGATGATGTTGCGTGACAGAGATGTGTACCTCCTCACGCTCAAGTTAACCAGACTTACACAAATATTGATTGTATTTTCCAGTCGCATTTTTGTGGGGGGGGGGGGGGGTTGACAGGGGGCGGGGGTGTATGTTTCTTTTCATACAGACGCAGTTGTAACAAACTTCCTTTTTTGTTTAATCTGAAAATGATGCTACTATCCCAAACCTTGAACAATGAGGGTCTATCTGATCAATGAACTCTACCTGCAGCTCGGTCAACAAGGGCTTCACGAGTCGCCCAGCAGGGGGCGCACTGGACAAGATCGTGTTGAGCCTAACGTCGAGTCTGGGTTTAGCTGAGAATGTTTGGTGAACGTGCTGTGTGTGTGTTCATTAAACCTGTTTGTGTAAGATTCGAGGACCGATGGATGAATTGGAACAGTGTTTCGTTTTTTTAAATTTATTTTTTTAAACTCATTGTTCTCTCTGTGGGTTCAGGGGTTCTTTGTGGGGAAAACAAGAACAGACTCAGTCAGATCCACTGCCTTCCCGACAAGCATGCCGTAAGAGTCGACTAACTGGGGTTTTTATTAGACGCCGAAGTACATCTGAGTGAGAAGCAAGGAACCATCCATCTGCACACAAATAAATCAGATTTGTAAAACGGATGTGCACACAACACTCAGGTTCTAAAACAGAACTAGAGCCAGGACTTCACGTCGGAGTTTACAGCCGGTGAACGCGAAGAAAGAGAAGAATAAGAAGAAGAAGAGAAAGAAGAAGAAGAAAAGAAGAAGAAGAAGAAGAAGAAGAAGAAGAAGAAGAAGAAGAAGAAGAAGAAGAAGAAGAAGAAGAAGAAGAAGAAGAAGAAGAAGAAGAACAACAACAACAACAACAACAACAACAAAAAACAACAACAACAAAAACAACAAGACTGCAGAGTCAATATCGTCAATGTTTGCTTCTAACAATCCATATAAAGATCTCGAATCTAAAAAAGCGATTTTAAAATAAAGCCACTGACAGATGAACAGTGGCAAAGAATCGAAATTCTCCACAAGGTTCTTTTATGAAAACTTTCACGGCCCCCCCCCCCCCCCCCCCTCCCCTTTTCTCTTCGATAGCTAACCAAACACAGAAACAAAACAAACCTAACCTAGACAGCCGTTTCCTTGCAAAATCCGATATCAGAAAAATTACAATTTTCAGCGAGTGCAATACCTGTTACTGCATTGAAGTTTGAACAACTGAAGTTAATTTTTTGATCCATGATTCGGCACAAAGGAGATGGTTTAGATATCAGACCAAAATGTCAGTATTTCTTCTCTTCTTTGTCCATGGTATTCTATTAATCTTTTCTCTATAGCATTTCAACTGACAGGTTAGTTGCGTATCCTTTACATGACGTTGCTGAACCAACCCCAACAACCCCCTGCCTGTTGTGTGGGTTTTCTAGCAAAATTAACGTCCAGTCGTTTGCCATTGCTTTCTCGATACCACTGTCGAAACCAACACAAGGCGCATGGCCCCAACCCGGCATCCTGGCATTACGAAGCGTTAGCATCGACTTAGCCACAGAGCCGACATAGCATTTCAACTACAAGCCTACAGTCATGTAAGGTGAGGAGTAAGTCACACCCAGCCTACAGTCATGTAAGGTGAGTCATGTAAGTAAGTCAAACACACCAGCCTACAGTCATGTAAGGTGAGTAAACACACCAGCCTGTCATGTAAGGTGAGGAGTAAGTCACACCAGCCTACAGTCATGTAAGGTGAGAGTAAACAACACCAGAGTAAAGGTGAGAAGTACACCAGCCTACAGTCATGTAAGGTGAGGAGTAAACAACACCAGCCTACAGTCATGTAAGGTGAGAGTAAACAACACCAGCATGAGTAAGGTAAAGTAAACACACCAGCCTACAGTCATGTAAGGTGAGAAGTAAACAACACCAGCCTACAGTCATGTAAGGTGAGAAGTAAACAACACCAGCCTACAGTCATGTAAGGTGAGGAGTAAGTCACACCAGCCTGTAGTCATGTAAGGTGAGGAGTAAGTCACACCAGCCTACAGTCATGTAAGGTAAACACACCAGCCTACAGTCATGTAAGGTGAGGAGTAAATCACACCAGCCTACAGTCATGTAAGGTGAGGAGTAAACAACACCAGCCTACAGTCATGTAAGGTGAGAAGTAAATCACACCAGCCTACAGTCATGTAAGGTGAGGAGTAAATCACACCAGCCTACAGTCATGTAAGGTGAGGAGTAAATCACACCAGCCTACAGTCATGTAAGGTGAGGAGTAAGTCACACCAGCCTGTAGTCATGTAAGGTGAGAAGTAAACAACACCAGCCTACAGTCATGTAAGGTGAGGAGTAAACAACACCAGCCTACAGTCATGTAAGGTGAGGAGTAAACAACACCAGCCTACAGTCATGTAAGGTGAGAAGTAAACAACACCAGCCTACAGTCATGTAAG